TTAATACAATTAGATGTAATTCTGCCTGTCTAGTTAAAATATGGCTCTCACTCTTACTTATATTGACTTTAGTTTTCACTTTTCACTTTTCACTTTCACTTGCAGTATATTTTTAATATAATGAAAAACTATAAAAATAACAATTAGCATGATTATTGTTCAAATACTAAATTATAAATATTTTGTATTCATCATAATTATTTTATTTGCCTAAAATTCCATATATTTTGCTCTAGAGGGCAACCCAATACTAAAGTCATTCTTTTTATATGTGTATCTGATAGTGTTGGCGTATATGTGTTGCAGCAATGCCCACGAAAGGTGATTTTTACTTGAGATTTAATTGGAGATCTCAAGCTGTGTTGCAAATACATCATACTGCTTGATATCGAACTGGCTGAGGTTGAGACTAGTTTGTGCTATCCTACGTTTTCTTACCAATTACACCACTACATGCTCAATTATTTATAGTGTATAAATTTTTGTAGCTTTATATATGCAAACCAATCTTTCTTTAAGATCACATTGACTTCAAGTTGATAAGCACATGATTTCTTACTACACCTCTTCCTCCCCCACGTGATATTTCGTGATTTTTTGCTAAAGCCCTCTCCCCTCTTCTTAAAAACCTTACGTGATTAATAGAAGCCCCCAATCTTGAGATTTGAAGTAATTTTATAGTATGCTTAAAATATTTGTAAACTATTTGTTGGCATTTGTAAAATTTCTGAAAAATATTATGTGTGTAAGTGTTCTGCTTTTTGACGAGTGAAAAAAGAGTGTGCGTAAGGTTCACACGCGATTGAAGTAAAACTTATTTGCTACTGTACAAAATGGCATTAAAGTAAAAATAAAATACATCATATAACCATTTTGAATAATGTTTATTAGTAATATGGCATCACTCGTGATGCACACATTTATTATTGTCAATCAATACACATTTATATAATGATCAATTATATCTTTATAATAGCATTAAAAATATGTATAATATTTAAAAACAATAATGTAATTAAAGTCATACTTCAAATATGACATGATCGGTTTGTCATTGTAATTAGCATTTAGAAATGAACCTTCATGAAGTAATTGCTGATTTAAATTCTATAATATTTGTTCACACAGTGATTATGTTAAACAACGCCTGAACAAATATTGTTTTCGCAACTTTACTCATCATTTAATTGTGTTTGAAGAACTTCATGTAATTAAAAATAACATACATTCATTGACTGATGGTATTTTTTTACTTTTTCGCTGGCGATATAATCTCATTCTTTAAACAGCTGTAATATCTGTAAAAAATTTTCATTTCAATAACTTCAAAGATTTATAGAAACTACGAATAATATAGAAATTATTTCAATAAACTTATGTTTCATACACGCCGCAATGCTGCATTTGTTTTATTATTTTCATTATAATTATTTACGGGGTACAGGCTAAAATATTTCTCTGATTCAGGCATTTTTCATTAAATCATGATTTATACTACGATGTAACTTTAAAACATTTATTCATCTATGCCGATTTCCTTCTTGATATCGGTACGCATACAACGACAGTTCTCTATTCATATACGCGACGACTAATCACAATAGACCCGTATAGAATGACGAATCATTGGCACTCGACTCTTATCTTATCTGCTGTAACGCACTTCCGTTGCATTTGTTCGGATTTACATCCTAGTCGCGCCTCAGTAACATATTATTAGAATTTTAGATTCACTTTATAGAGCAACATATAGAATTTTAGATCATTTTGCCACTTATGGCGAATATATCTGAAAATATGGTTCGAAAAACTACTGTACTGTCTAATAATATACCATGTAGTTCCTAGTTTTGTTTTCTAGAGTATTTTCCAAAAACAGTATGTATTCTGGTTTCAATAATCTTGAGAAATATCTCATGATTAGCATCGATGTTGATAATTCTCTCACTGGGTCAATAATATGAAAGGGACTTGGTAACTGTCGTGGTATGTGCGTGCAATATTCTCGCTCTCGAGCCATGCTAACAAAAGTGCCAAGCGTGCCGCATGACTCAACCTTGGCCTAAAGAACCTGTTTGAATAGTAGTACTCATACTCATATATATATTGTCCCTCCATGCACGATTTATGGCACACGACATTTCAATAACCATAAACGACCAATGATAAGGAAAATATGAATTATTTAGATTTACGTGATACAGAACATTTCATACAAATTGCTGTAAAAGCCTCGGTCTTGCATCCAAAAGGGTTCGAGTTCAACTCTTGCGCTAGGTGTAACCTGATATCAAACAGTAGTTATATCTTGAAGAGATATTAATTATTGGATATCTCCTGATATGTAAAAACTAACACTTTTTAATATTTCATTTCAAATTATAACTTACGTGGTTGAGTGTTGATATTTTTAATCTGTACTTGTTGGCAGTTCAATCATAATAAGAGTTGATTTATAAAAGTTTTATGTTAATGTTGAATTTGATACTAAACTTACAAACTTAAAACTACAAACTTATTGTAATATGAGATTTGATAAAATAAGATGTTGAAATACACAATAGTTCTCAACGATCTCTATTAACTTGAAAATATAGACCCAAATATTTTGGTTTCAAAAGATCTTAGGCCTCACAACCTATTGCAACAATGCCTTTCATAGTGAAAAATTAGATAGGGAACTTAGAAGTTCATTATGATGATCTTCAATTTTTAGGATATATCACCTGTTGGTAACACCTTTTACGAATGGAATGTCCAAATCATCATCAACTATGTGATTTAGAATATACCAGAGAGCATCAATATTAGTTTTGAGAGTTCTAAATCGTAGTATCTGCATTAGTACAATATTGGACTTACTGGCACATCCCCAAAGTTCAATTCCATACGGTCATATGGGCTTAGGAATAGTTCTATACTGAAGGATTTTATTGTCAAGAGATAGTTTGGATCTACTATCAAGAAACCAATAAAGTTCAGACATTTTGATTTTGGCAAGCTTGGTTTACTGAATTTTTTATTTAATGTGAGGAAAAAGCGCTTTCCATATGCATAGCAATTAGGTATTCGAAATATATTTGTAAAATTTAATGTAGTTTGAAATATAGTTGCCTGGAAATAGAACTTATTGCATGACAGTTTTGAACGAAAACTATTTTCTCTATAGATGTCAATATTATTCATGCACATAGTATCGTATTAAATTAATTAATAGACCTTGTTCGAATATGGTTCAATGAGTATTTCATGCCGTAAATGTCAAGCTCACGGACTCGTATGGACAGGGTCGTTAGTTCCAATCCTGCTCTGCACAACCTGACATTGGGCAGTAGCGATGTCAATTTTCATCTGAAAAATATTATCGATTGAAAACAGTATATTTTCGTGTAAAACGGCAATGAGAAATCTCTCACACTATTTTGACTTGCCTTAGTGCAATGCTATTTATTATTAATTGTTCCAATGAACTAAAACCCAGATGTCTATACACCAGACTTATGTAAAAATAGAGCTTGTGGAACAACATGGTGCAAATTATGAGTTATATTTTTTTACATTTATTATATTCTGCTTTATATTTTATATTGTTTACCTTTCCCGAATAGTGTATTAGGATACTATATAGTGGGCATCATATGAGATTAAAAAAAATTAAAAATCTCAGAAAGATATTAAGGTACAATAACTGATAATCATTATAATATTGACTCTTTATTTATAACTACCTTGATTCATTATTTGTGATACCGAGTGTTCTTGTTGGGAATTTATTTTTCAGGACACTTTCGAATATTACTGCCAAATTTGCCAAATTTTATTGATCGTTATGGAAAAATAACACACTCATACACACACAATATGTATTAATACATTATTAAGAATTTAAAACATTAGTACTTCAATCCCAATATTAATTTAATTGTAATTCAACCCTTTTGCTACAGCTATGTTTTCCACAGAAGTGACACATTTCTGCGGATCTATAAAAATATGTAAAAGTTTAAAAAATTACACTTCTAAAATTGATAACAAATTAGAATCTTCAATAATATAACTCAGAGTGATATATCTTAAAGTAAAAGTCGGCACAGTGGATGTCGCCTATAGACAAAAGCTCGTGAAACATCGAAAAGTATAAACGTTATTTATAAGTATGTACTCTAGCTTTTGTACCATTATAACAATTTATAATTGCTCTTTTAAAAAACTAAAAATCACGTTAACAAATTAAAATCTCCAATAATTTAACTCAAGACATATATATCTTGAAATAAAACATATGACATATGATTGACATTTAATCAATCCGCGATTGTCAGCAACGCTCGTTCAGCAAGTGACGTCACAGTCCCTTGTTATCTTTATACACTTTATACAATGAAAAACATAATAGGACTAGCCGTCCATGTGTATAGAACACATTAAGCGTTTTTAAAAGAATACAAGTTCTAAAACTCGGCAAATAAAAATGATAGAGCTCGAAAAATGTCAAAAAGTACAAAACGTTATTTATAAGTATAAGTATTAGCAGTTGTAATAATTATTGAAATTAAAAAAAAAAAAAAATAAATAAGTATAATTATGTACTCTCACTTTTGTACCATTATAACAATTTATGATTACACTTCTAAAAAACTATACCAAATGACGATACCAAATCAAAATCTCCAATAATTTATCTCAAGACATATATATCTTGAGGCAAAAGTCTACACCCTGAATGTCGTCTATAGACGACACTCGTACACGCAGGTTCTCAAGCGGATGTCGCTTACAGCTAGTAACGAAAGATAAATCGTGTTCTATCGGTGTTATAAAAATAATAAAAAATTCGTAAAACACTAAAAAGTAAATGAAGTTATTCTATTTGTAGAAACCTTAATAATTTTTACCATTACGATAACTTCTTATTTTTTCGCTATCAAATTATAATTTCGTACTATTCTTTCACCTTTTAATGTCTGTCTCTTCTTACTATCTTTTCTATCCTATTTCAGATAATACTACTCAATCACCCAAGCTGATTCCCTACCCGGCCTGGTCTTCTCACAAACTTCTTCCCGACGGCGGCGACGCTCCTGAAATCGTCTCGCCCTTCCGAGTGCGTGCAGACGCCTGCGACCGCCTTTGGGTACTCGATACAGGGGTAGCCGATATCCTTAGCGATAATCCTCGTGTTTTAGCACCTACACAACTTTTAGTATACGATTTGCATAACGATTCTCTTCTAAGACGCTTTACAGTGCCCGCAGACCAAACCAAACGCGATTCATTCTTTGCTAACATAGCAGTGGAAGATTCTAATTGTGAAGATACTTATGCATATGCTGCTGATTTGGGTGCTCCTGGATTAGTGGTTTATTCGTGGAAGACCCAAACTTCGTGGAGAATCAAGCATCATTATTTCCATTCTGATCCTCTGGCTGGGAATTTTACTGTTAACGGTATCAACTTCCAGTGGACTGATGGACTTTTCGGATTGGCTCTGTCTGCTCCCAAAGAAGATGGGTATAGTACTTTGTACTTCCATCCTATGGCGAGTACTAATGAATTCTCAGTGAGCACAGAGTTTTTGAGGAGTGAGGAAATTGCTGAGAAGAATTTCCACGAGTTCAAACTGTTGGGAAGTCGTGGACCAAACGCACAATCCAGCGTACAATTTTTGGACCAAAAAACTGGTGTGCTTTTCTACGCTTTAGTCAATTTAAATGCTGTAGCTTGCTGGAAAACAAACAACACCGCCTACACCATACAATCTCAAGGCAGAGTGTTCATGAGCAATGTTTCCATGGTGTTCCCTAACGATGTAAAAGTTGATGCCAACAGCAACTTATGGATTTTATCTGATCGTCTACCAGCTTTCATGTACTCTGAATTGAACTATGATGATATCAATTTCAGAGTGTTAACTGCTTCTGTTATGGAAGCAACTGCTCATACAGCTTGCGATACTAAACCAAAGGCAATTCCTGAATTGATCGACAAAATTCAAAGCATCATCAAGCCGATCATAAAGGGACAAAAATCATCAGCTGTTATGCCAAAGTTGGAATTCTTCACGATGGCCATGTTGTCGTCAGTGGTTATTTTTATGCTATTTAGAGCGTAGAGTCATATTGGAGCAACTGGTGGATTATTTACTCATTTTGGGAAATAAATAATTATTTCTTTTTTGGTCAACATCTGCGAAAAATGTTGACAGAACTGGCATTATAGTTTAAAATTCGATAAATAAGCAAATGTGCTTTATTCTATTTTATTGTTTTCCGAGGGTCTTTTTTTGCTCAAATTCATCACACGTTTTAAAGAACAGATTTTCTTATTATAGTACACGTTCTTTAAACGTTTTTTTTAATTCTATATTTTTGTGATTTAGATGAAAATATGTTTTTTAACTTATTTTATTGAAGTAACCAGGTTTATTTTCTCTGTGTTATATTTATTTAAGGGGCACAACTAGTGTGAAATTTTCAAAAAATCGAATTTTCAATTTTTCTATATTTTGATAGGTTATACCTTTAAAAATAACATACCAAAATTTCAACCGATATCTTAAATAGTTTTTGAGTCACGGCCATTTAAAGAGTATATATATAGTATATAGTATAACGATCATTTAATCTTTAAACGCGTTTTTCTCGAAACAGCATTTGCCTAATTCGCTGCAGCGATTACTCAAAAAGAAATGATCCGATCACTATCAATTTTTTTCCGCATATTCTATATATAGTTCTCCGTAAAATGAACCATCGATTTTTTAATCGGATCAAAAATCGAATTTTGGCAATCCCAAAACGACCAAAATTTTTGGGTAAAATTCGACTTTTTTTTTATAAAAAACGCTGTCATCTTGTCAATTTTTGATTTTTTTTTATCGTCGTTCATTTTACAGACATATTACCTACTTTAACGAGAATTTTGTTTTTAATTTTATCCACGTAGAAGGCCGGAATCACTGCAGCAGTGAAGGGCCTTTTTTGTCGCGCCGTTGGAGGTCTACGATAACTTAAAAAATATTTAATTTTTTTCTTCAAAAATTTTACTATGTATTCTTAAAACATGTACAAATATATCCCTAAAATTTTGAAATGATTGATAAAGTAGTTTTTTTAATATAAATTTCCAAAAATCACTTTTTTTAGGCAGTTACACTAGTTGTGCCCCTTAAATCTTATCTAGAATTCAACCCAGAGGTAAATTTACGAGCTGCAGTTAGTGGCGCTCCTATAGAGTGCCGCAACAATTAAAATTGAAGTTATTGCAAAGCAGCCGTGTTTGCAATCTATTCATACTGTGTTTAAAAAATTATTATTTACAAAATGGATAAATTTTCCATCAGCAATAATACCAGTAATTAAGTCTTTTGTTGTGCTATTATCATAAACATTTTTAATGGAACAATACGGTGACATATCATTGTGCTGTGGACATTATAATTTCTTCTTGTATTATATTTCAATCTTTAGTTATAAATCTATGTCATGAAAAAAAATTTATACATAAGAAAATTATGGGTATTACAAAAACCCATTTGGGAAGAATACATATAACATGATTATGAATAATGTTTACCAGAAATGTATTTTAATTTTAATTTAAATTATCGATAAGCAATATATTGTAGATTTTTAACATTTCAGTTGCAAAACTATTAATTTATGTAATTTATTGTATTATTTGTATGTTATTGGAGGTAGATTTTATAGTTTTACTACATAGTTCTAACAACATATACAAATTTTGGGTCCAATACTCGGATAAAAGATAAATTCTAATTTACGGCGGCCGACCTTCGTATGAGTTTGTAGTAACAAACTGTTCAAAAGCTATGTATTTGCTATGCTATCAGACGTTTTTGCACATAAACCAAACTTCGCGTATGTGTTATCAAGAGCACATCAGAAAATTGCATTTACGATAAAATTTTTAGGCATTTGTGCATTTTATAGGTAAGGTTTTTACGTGTTGAACGCCTGATCGTACTGCAAATACTAATAATTTTTATTTTATCCGAGAATTGGCCTCAATATGTGGATTTATAAACAAAATTTATTTACACAGAACCGTTATAATTTTTGATTATCACTTTATAAAACTTTTGTAATTTATATGGAAAATTTTCTTTAGCACAAAGTTGCAAAAACATTTTGAACTATAACTCGAACAATGACTTTTTCAGTATACTTTTTTATCTTCAAATAATTTTTCTGAAAAACCTGATTTTTCTGCAATCTACTCTTATA